TGTATGTATGTATGTATGTATGTATGTATGTATGTATGTATGTATGTATGTATGTATGTATGTATGTATGTATGTATGTATGTATGTATATTGAACTTATGTTGTTGTTTTTTTAAAGAATAAAGATATCATTACCAAAATTTAGTTAATAATTTACAAAATTTCTTTCAGAATCTTGAAAGGGAGATTAAAAAATAACTGAATCATGTGGATGAAATATAAAATTCCAAAAAGTAAAGGTCTGAATACTTTCTCAGTCTAAATGAAATAAAAAGGATTGCACATCACAAGATGGCCGCCGCCGACATTAACATAACTAGGGATATTTTTTGTGTTTACAAAGGTTAGTTAGTCATTGTAGCCGTATTGTATTAGTTTATTACAAAAGTCAGTCAGATGTAGATCGATTGATTAGTTCCGGTGGCCATCTTGAATTGAGTTGACTGTAAATACTAAATAAAGGCCTTAAAGGACTGCATGTTGTCTGTTCATTGTTGGTGACAGTAGTTTACACTAAAATCATCTCTTTTTGAGAAATGACAGAGTTGAAGCCATTTATGTCAAATTCACCCAGTAGTTCGTGGGAGTTTTTGCTAACAGACAAACTCAGTGCCAAAACATTAGCTAAAAAATGTTGCACAATCTGCAGAGCTTAAAGCATGCGTTGAGGAATCAGCAACCATCACGCCAAATGTTTGCTCAATATTTGTAAAACTGATTGAGGAGTAGCCATTTTGTGTTAAGAAGATGTTGCAGTGGTGATGTTTTGTTTTGGGTTGACTCTGAAAATGAACAAGTTATCGATCTAATGATAGTTATTAATTTATGAAGGTTTCATTAAAATCCAATGAGTTGTTTATGAGATATTTTGCTAAAAAATAAACAACCAAAATTCTTTCTCACTGTTAAAATGTTTACAGACAGATTTGTTCATTTAAATGTTTTTTACTTCATTTTGTTCTGCTTTTTTACTGTGTATAATACTGGCGTACTGCATAATACATGAGAAGCTACTGTTATCTTTTATTTTTAAGCCATATGTATGTATGTGTATATGTATGTAGGTATGGGTATGTTTATATATATATATATATA